TAAAATAGGTTACAATGTTAGATATCACTTAATTCGCAATGGAAATGTATTGGCCTTGAAAATTTGGAATAATTGTTTCGTTATACTAGTATTACATCATCTTTTAAAGCGATGATGTTTTTGTCAATCACAAATTCTTTACCACATTTTGGTACTAAATAATGTTTGCAACAAGTTATTCATTGGCACTCTATGAAATCTTTCAAATTCATAGACATTTTTAAAAGCTCATTGGCTATTCTAGCAACTAAATCATTAAACTTACTATTTAACTTGTTTAATTTCTTAACATCGTCATAATAATAAATAAGATTAGGGAAATTACCAAATCTACTTGAGTCAACGAAACCATCCTGATAGGCGATTTAATGTGATAGAGGTGTAAAAACTTTCCAATATATATGTAAAGTGAAAACCGTTTTACGTAACACTAACAAATCTTTGAAATATCAGTAGCTTTGTAAGCTCGCATAATAGCAGGCTTATCTTTTGCAAAATGTGGATAGGGCTCAACTGTAGCTTTATCAATTTCAGTAAAACTTGTCAAAAATCTATGACAACAATTGAAACCAATATATTCGTATTCATATTCGTATGAAATATAATGTATCATATAGATTTAACGTTTCAAAAACAAAAAAATGTTAATTACCTTCTTAATCTGAGCTTTGTCTAGTTTTTCTGTCATGATTATTTATTAGGGAATAAAATTCTGTATCAATTTCATTGGCCAAATTATGCACACGAGTTGTTGGCTTTAGGATTATTTTTAGTTTCGTAATGGATTTAAAAACACATCTGATACTTTATTTAAATGATAATGTAATGACAAAGCATTATAATAAAATTTAAAATCCTAAAATATATCTTCTAAATTTCCAAATGAAATTTCTGAGATGTCACATAAAATCAAGCGTGATAAGAGAAGGAAAGAAGTTGACATAATTTGTTTTATTACAAGTACGGGATTAAATGAGTAATAATTATAATATATTATTATTATATATTGGTATATTATACTTATATTTATAATTATAAATATTAATCATACAAGTAATATATAATTATAATATATTTAAAGCTTTGGGAAAACATATCGTCACTTGATATAATTATATCTTTACATGTTATTGTATATAAATATGTCCTATTGTTTGAAAAAAGTTCTTAAAATATGGAATATTACATTTATTGACCACACACGCCCCCATATGTTTTGAAAAATCCAATTTTGAGTTAATATCCAGATTATAATCAAGGTAACATATAATTTTGATAAAAGCTTTTGCTGAATCAAAGGTTGGAACCGATTAAAATAGGTTACAATGTTAGATATCACTTAATTCGCAATGGAAATGTATTGGCCTTGAAAATTTGGAATAATTGTTTCGTTATACTAGTATTACATCATCTTTTAAAGCGATGATGTTTTGTCAATCACAAATTCTTTACCACATTTTGGTACTAAATAATGTTTGCAACAAGTTATTCATTGGCACTCTATGAAATCTTTCAAATTCATAGACATTTTTAAAAGCTCATTGGCTATTCTAGCAACTAAATCATTAAACTTACTATTTAACTTGTTTAATTTCTTAACATCGTCATTACTGCCAGAAATTTTGATATGTGACTCTTTGAATGTCGAAAAGCTTCAAGTAGACCAACAATAGTTTTTTGCAAAACATCAAGATCAGAAAATATTATATTTTCATATTATTTTAATTCAATCAAAGCCAATTTGTAGTGTTTTTTTTTTAATAACTGTTTGAAGATGAGAAAAATTTTCTTTCTTTACGTTGCACACGGCTATGACTTGTCATTATTTCCAAAATCGGTCAAATTCCCACAAATTTAATATTAATCGTTTTTTACAGAACTAAAAAAAAAAATCCTTTAATTAAAAAATTAAAAATGACGATACAGGAAATTTCAGATCCTCCTAAAATAAAAAGTTTATCTTTCCCAATTAAAAATACATTCAAATTATTTAGAAATGCTTGTAATGTGACTTTGGATTTTGAGAATAAATATTTTGAAAACAAAATTGAGTTGATTAAAAATCGTAGAGAGGAATTCCAGTCAATTGCTAATGGCACAATTCAACAATCTGACGAATTGGCTAAATTTGGTGGAGATTTAATGGTCCTTATTAAACATTGTGGTGACAAAGCTGCTTCTAAAGAAGATATATTAAATTATTTGAATAGACTTTTAAATGATGCTACAACTAATAAAATTGCAATAAAAGAAACCAACTCCAAAATTATAACTCTCAAGTATAGGATGATAAAGATTCATAATGAATTAGCAGAATTTGATTTTGAAAAGATGAAAAATATTGTAAGTTTTCATATGGGTATGGCTTTATATGGATTGTTGTTTATTAAAGTTTAGCAAAAATGGCCAAAAACCCAAAATCATATTAAATTTTGATATTTATCTTCCTGTGAGTCGTTAAACAATTTATCTTTTGATTAGACTGCTTGAGAAACAGGTGTCAATGCCGTAAATAATATTTTGTTTTTGTAAATGCATCGAATCTTAAACGTTACATTTTCTTTATTACATCATTTTTTTCATTACACGTGAATCAATCAATCATTTATATTTAACCGCTTCCTTTCATTGTTTTCATTGATCGTGTATTATGTACATCCGTCAAGAAAGGCGAACTATATATCTATTTCTCGAATAGGTTTGGCCTTTTAATCTTTATTAATGACATCGGGTTCGTGTGACGACTCTTTAAACAAAAAAAAAATTTTTTGCTCAACGAATAACAACAATGTAGGATATGCTTCAACCCTCGCATTTGAACGTGTAAAGCCAAATCGTAAAACGCCATTTCGGCACTACGTGTCTCAAATTCGAATGCAACGCAAAAAGCAAAACCGACGCACCGATTTTTTGCAAGTTTTTGGTCCACGAGTGGGGTAGCGAGTTTATTTATATGTTTCGCAGTAATTTAGACTACTCGATCAAAGCACCGTTCAAAGAATATCGTCGCTACTTTGTGTTCACGAAACTCAATGTCACCTCCCGGTTTAAAAAGATTGTTTTTGAATAAATATAGCTTGACACGGAGAGCCACTGTCAATATGAAAGATGATTTGTTAGAAAGCTATAATGACATAGTTTTATTTTTGATTAATAATAATGTTTGAATTTGTTATAAAAATAATGAGATATTTTAAAAAACTGATTTTTTACCCAATCCG